TTGAATATACTACACAATACTTTAGATTATTGATTGAAAGAGTACTGAAAGACTTTTAAGTAATTTTTGTTTTCTTGTTTTATATTTGCATTTTAAGTTTTTGGATTTGAATTGCATTCTTAGCTTTTCGGACTGCAACTTATAACGCGCTTTTTCAGATTCTGGCAGTTTATTCTATTCATTTCTAGCGATTCGAATATGAAAACCTCTCAATCCAAAAATTAGAAAACACACTCTTCTTATATTACACTGACATGTACCAGCTGTCAAGGCAAAAAAGAAAAATGTTCTGGTGAGGCAATATGTGTGAATTGTAAGCGGCGTAATTGTGAATGTGTATATATTAACCTGAATAAAAAAAGAAAGTCTAGAAAACTAATTACTTCAAATTTAGCAAATTTATTAAATCTAGTTATTTAATATATCGATATTGTTAAATTCAGAGTCTATCTTGGTGATAGCTGTAATTTTTGTTATTATACTGTATGTGGCAGTTTTAGAAGAGATGTTATCTAAAAATTTCACAGAACTCATTCTTAATTTAGAGATATGATTATATGTAGTATGATTTCGTGAACCCACGGGTCAGTTATATGATCATATATTTAAAATAATGATTTGTCCAAGATAAACACCCAAGTAGTATCTATTCACAAGAAATTTCTCAAATGAATTTAATAATCCTGTTTAAAGTGAAGAAGATATTAAAAAACCTCAGCCGGCATCAACATAATTTCAGCCTGCACTAACACTAAATTTTAGAAGCTGTCATTTTAACCCAGGTCAAAATATAATTTCTCTAATAAAGAATTTAGATTTAGATCTGTGCATTCATATAATAATTACCGTATATTTAGTAAAATTAGTTTTTGCTCCATGATTAATAATAAAAAAAGATATGGTTACTTTTCAGATTTATCTAATTTGAGTTCTATATTTCCAATAATAATTAAATGTATTTGCCAAAATATTTATTAGATACCATCCTTACACGAAAGCCTAAAGCGTAATTGATGTTCTATTCCATCTGATTCTTTCAAGTTACATTATCGTTATAACGATAACAATAACTATATATCGATATATATAGAAATAATAATTTTGCTATCAGAAATTAATGTAGTTTATGTTATAATCTAGAAAAGCTATTTTATTTACCATATCATTATTTTGATAAACTTCTATAAATTTTTAAGATTATTTGATTGCATTTCATAATTTGACACCAAAGGCAAATATTTCCTTGCAAGAGTAGCTAAACCAGGAAATTCATGTTTTGAAATTTTCCACCATTTATACACATCAATGTTTTCATCAAACTGAGATTGCAAATAACTAATATATTGTAACAATTCTTCAGATGCCAATTCTTCAGATGCTAAACTATTACCAGAAGAACTGGGATTTTGTAAATAATAGGCTTGGCATTTATCTAGAATAAATCCCTTGAATACTTCCTAATATATTGTATGAAACATAATTACATTAATTGTGATTTTATAATTATAAAATTAAAATTTAATAAAACTTACATTAGAAATAACGTTAACTGGTTTCAAACACAGATCTAGAAATGAACTTACACTTATGTAGAAATATAAGCCATATAAATGAATTAAAAATATTAGAAATGATTCAAGTGCCTTGTATTCTTCCAAAAGCTCATTCGGCACAGTTAACTGAGAAATCTCACTCAAAATGTTAATAGTATTAACAAATAGATCAATAGCATTTTTCTCAGTAACTTTGTTATGTTCCAAGGGTTTGAATAATCATAGTAATTCAGGAAATATACTAAATAATAAATTATCTAATAAATCGGTTTTAAATCTAATTATATTGTTTCTAATAAAACTATCATTATGATTACTGTAATTAAGCAATGTTTTGAAAGATTTATATATAAAATTTAGATATTCCTATTAATTTGATTAATAAATTAGTAAGTACGTATGCGGTATATCACTAGTTAGAACTCGATCCTAAAGGACCGATTAACATCTCTATTTGACATATTGATATGAAAAATAAGCTGGTTCACATTAATTTAAACAACAATTAATAATATTTAAAATTA